ATAACATATTTCAAGGTAAAAATCATACCAAGTATTTATCTGTCATAAAAGAGAGAGTAATTTAGGGGGGTTTTATATATTTGTAATAATTTGTAGTCAATTCTAAAATTAAGTGGATCAGAAGTTGCCAGTCTATTTTCATTAAAATACTTAATTTCTATGCACTAAGGTGCACTGAAATGAATAACAGAACTTGCAATCACTTACAGTAGACTAAGCTTCAATCCTAAATCAATCTTGCAAAGCTCTCTTGCATTAAATGAGATTGCCTTTTCATACCAATATAGCCGTACCTAAGCATAAGAGCTCCTCAGCTTAAATCATTTACACGTACGTAGCTCAGCTACATCCTGCACACAGGAGAGCACAGGAAGGCACATACTGATCTGCAGGAATCTATTCATGTTACTGTGGTGCAGGTACAGCTACGTGGGTACGTAAGCATGTCTGTCTTGGCATACCCATACGTGTGGACATACATGTGCTTATACACACGTAAAGGCAAATGAATATTCAAATATTCCCAACTGCATTTGTGTACAAAACTGTGTACATGGATATGCATAGAGAGGGACACGCACTTCCCTCTTTCTCGGGTATCTTTTTCTAAACTGGTTCCCACCTTCTCAGATTCGTCTGTGCTTTCCCAGGTTGTTCTCAAACCAACCAACCTCCTTGAATTCTCACATTCCGTTACAATGAAACGGATTAATACAGAATGGCTTACTTCTTCTGGAAGTAACTTGCTTTCATTTGCTAAACTTGAAATCTTTGATACAGTATGCCAAAGGAAAAAGAAAAACAAAACACAACAAAACGAATACAACCCGTAATCAGGGAGAAATAGGCTTGTTTTCTAAAAACCAGGGAGACCACATTAGAAAAAAGATGTGAGAATATCAGCTCAGATGATGATTCATGGTCACATTTCTTAGTATCTTGTGAAAAAAATATTAATTTCTGATCTCTCTAGATGTCCAGATACTTCTAGCATCCATTTATCTTTTTGCACTTTCCCTTTGCCTGTTTCCTTCTTGCATGATTTTACTTGCAATCTTCCACTCCGGTGAATCTCTGATTTTTAAACAAACTAGAAGAGAGAAACAAGAGCTCCACTCAGAGAAGCTACAGATAAGCTTAAAGGTCTCTGGGATTCAGGATCCAATTAGGTAAAATAGGAGCTTGCAGGAAGGTTGCCTTTTGTGGAGCTAAAAGCCTTTGGAGTGTGCCCTCTCGTGGTCATTCTTTATTCAGCACAGATACCTGTACCATTAAATACATTCGCTTCCGAAAGAAAATTGATTAAATTATTTAAAGAGACATAGGCGACCCATCCTTTTTTAGCTCCTTAACTGCCAGACTGGCTGTATGGGAGTAAGTATCTCCCTAGGAAAAGGTGTGAGTGTGTACGCACGTGTATCCACACATGAAAGTGGGCATCACATGATCAGTTCACCCCGAATTCAGTAAGAAGTGATACGAAAAGGTAGAAGCAGTTAAAATAGCTGTCAGACTTCTAATTTCTTCCTGACAGTTCTCCTAACAGAAAGCCTTTGGATTTCAGTATTTCCATCCTGTAATTCCTATTACCTTCTCGGGGGCTGATGTTAGCAACCCATTTCATTGGTAGTTTAGTTGCCAGGATCAAATTCACTTGGCAAAAGCCCAGGTCTGCCTAATAAGCTATCTACTAAAAATAATGAAAGAGTTAGTTATTTTATGAGCATTGGGTATCTCAGTTATACAACCTGTTGGATTTGCTTGTCACAAAATTATATGACCCCTCTCCTCAAAAGACTATTTTTAAGACCTTGAAGTAACACACAGAGCTCTGGCACAGCTACCCTCGTAGCAGAACTAATCGAGGTTAGTAATCTTAGTTTGATATGCAAGTAGAAAATGATTTTCATGTTTTACTTGAAAGAGTGCCAAAGGACAGTAGGGTGCATTTGTAAACTTTTGCCCAATACTCGCGGTCATTAGTTTTGCAAAGATTTGCCTGGATTTGTTAGCTGTGAAAACTACCTGCCAACTATTTTTGCTGATTTCCTGGACATAACTACACCTGTGCTTCAGACAAGTTCACTGCATTTAATTTCCCCTCTAATTATCTGAAATCTGTACTCGTTTGAATTTTGGTCTATTTTAGAAAATAGCAATCTCAAGCCAGAGCCACGTGCACAGGGCACTGTTTGTTCATTCACTGCATTTCATTGTATATCTGAGGATACGGCTGGATGAAAGATGGAAATACTACTTTTTTTTACAGAGGCAAGTAGTAAATGTGGCTTCTGAAAGGTAGGGGGAATGGCTGGTTTATGTCAAATCATACCCAAAGGAACAAAAACCCTAAAGTCTTATTTCTCTTTCCACAGACCTTTATTTGATACAACGTGAGATGTTTCCATTCATTTTCATTGATTTCCTATTGCTCTCTTTCAAGATAGAGTGAGTTTCACATTAAAAGCAGGAAGAAAATTAACCTGACTGTGAGAGTAACATGTTTATTCTCCTACTTGGTGTTTTAAACTTCTCCACACTCTTCTCAGTTCCCACAGAGTGAAAAGTGGGGACTGTACATGTGGCTATATTCTATTCCTGTCCTTTCAACTCTTACTTCCTATATGACACGTCACCTACCTTCTTTTTGCCTCACTTTCCTCAACAGGAGAAGTAATACTACTTTAATTTTGTATGTGCTGGCATGTGAGTGGAAGAGATCCCAGGTAGAGTTCGCTTAAGCTGTTACACAACATTGGCACCTGTAGAGTGTGGTAGATCCTCTGATGTTAGCAAGACATCAGATGTGAATGGCTATAGGAGAAAAACATGTTTTAATCATCTGAAGTTACTCTATGGAGTGGAGTTATAATTCCCATTTTAAGCCCATAACCTACTGCTCAGTTTCTGGGTTGCTAGTTGCTCCTCCCTCTTCCCAAATTAAAGCCTAGCAGGTATGGGAAAAAGGGCTGGGGCAGCCCTCCTGCCTTGGTTTCCAGGATGGGCTTGGCATGAAGGTGGAGAAGAGCAGGAGAGCGGGAAAGGCATGAGAACACAGGAGATGCCCCTGTCCTTCAGCTGTGCAGCTCCATAGCATAATTCTTCTTAAATTATTTTGGCTAGTAGTGGTAGGATGACGCTGTGTGAATCAAACTAAGTGACGTGTTAGTGTTGGGTAGTTGGTGGAGGGGGGGGAATCAGTGGCTGGACTATTGGCCAGCGTGTGGGCAATGGCACAATTTTTGCTTCTCACATGACCCCGAGAGCCAATGGCTTCAGGAGCTGCTGTTGGAGGGTGTCATACTGAATAGACATATATCAAATTCCTTTGTGTTAGAGCTCAGGAGAGACAATAATGTGTTTACAAATGCTTGGGACTCACACAGTGAAGAGAAACCACTGCTCATGCCATATGTGTTTCACTGTGCTCCGGGCGAGTTGCCGAAAACCAGGTGGGGAATCCGACTCACAGATAGCTTAGAGATTTCTTTGCTTTTAAAAACTAATTTCTAAACTAACATTGAGCCACCCCTGCTTCTAATGACCACATTGACACCTTCTGCCTGCTTTCTGAAGTGGAGGGGGTGGAAAAATCGAAAAGCCTGAGCTTTCATACTGAATGAACTGGTAATCTCTATATTGACAAGGACTCCAAAGACAAGGGCTCCTTGTACAGTTGGAAATCGGACAGCC